AGAAGTACTAGTTCCTGGAATAAGTAAAATTGGGGAAAGGATAGAATATATTAAGTTTGGGATACCTATTGGACATCCAAACAAAAATGTAGCATAGGCAATAAGGTATGCAAGTTAGGAGTTCAGAAAAGATTGAGAATTGAGGTAAAAATTGAGGAGTCATCACAATAAAGATGATGATAAAAGCAATGAGACTGGTTGAGATTACCCAAGAATTAAACAGAAAGAGAAGAAAAGAAGTCTAAGAAATGAGCTCTCAGACTCATCAATATTTAGAAGTTTAGGGAAGATGAAGATTCAGTAAAACAAATTATGGAATGGCCAAGGAAACTAAAGGAAAACCAGGAAAGGGTGATGTTCCAGGAGCCAAGTGAAGAAAATACTTCAGGAAGGTTAATCTGTTCAAATGCTGCTGAGATACAATAAAATGGGGACTAAGAACTGACTGCTGGGTTTGGCAATAAGGCAGTCACTGGAAACCTTGACAATGGCAGTTTTAGTTGAGTAGCAGGAATGAAAACCTGATTGGAAAACCTGGTTGAGGTAAGGATATGCTTTCAAGGAGCTTTTCTCTAAAGGAAACAAAAGAATGGAGCAGTAGCTGGGTGGAATTATGAATGAAGAAAAGGTGAAAGGAATTTCGTCTAACACAGAACCTATGATGGTATATTTGTATGCTAATAGAATTATTTAACATAAAAGGTAAAATGTGGTTTTGAAGAAAAGTTGGGGAATACCTGTAAGTGCTAAGTCCCTACATACACAAATGAAAGTGGCCATGAAAGCAGCCAGTGGACTTTTTCCACTATAACAGGATGAAAGGTAAGGTATAGGATTATAACAGGAGGTTGATTTGTTGGTGTGAAGATACAAAAGTTCTAGTTGCTTTTCTTTTCAGGGAAATAAACACCAAAATCATAGCCGAGAATAAAAAAAAAGGTGGAAGGTGTTGGAAGTCGGAGCAGAGAGAAGATGGCAGAGTGGTTTTGGAAATTTTAAGTGAAATCAGTAATTTGAAAATTGTTTAACAGTAAATCTTACACTGACTTAGGGTAAGGTCTCTTAATGCCATAGGATCATTTTTTTATAGACCAACTGTTAGGCTCAGTTCTGTTGAGGAATAATAATTTGCAAGTTCATAAATTATATGTCTGCTTACATTTTCATTACAAAAGCTAACTTTTTAGCAAAGAGGCTCTAGCTTAAGCTTAAGTCATTTATTTGCTCCCTGACCCTAATTAAATAAAAATGTAATTAGATGCCATAAGAATACCAATATTTCACAACTCTTCTGTTTCACAGCAGGAAGCCAAGGTCAATTAAGACTCATTTATCAACACCACTAACCAAAGGATAAAGTTTTACTCAGAAAAAAAGAAAAACAGGAAAAGTTAAAGATAACTAATGTACTAATTATTTTATCAGTTACACTTTCAACCATATTATGTAGTGAAAGAAAGGAAATTATTATTTTAACAGCAGGCACCAGAGTTCCTCTTGGGAAGGTAACTGTCATCATTGAGGCATGTATCTCCACAGGTTGTTGGTGGGCGAAGATGTGGCCTCAAGGACATTAGGAAATAGAAGAGATACGTAACCTCCTCTGCCTGAGTAAGATACAGAATTCAGGACCTGGGAAAAGAATAGGAAGAAAAGAGACCAGAGAGGAGAAGGTTTGGTGCTAGTATAAGGAAAGACGACAACATGGCAGGAGGCCATATTGACTAGTGACAAGGAAAGGTGAGAAAGTGGAAAAGTGATTGAAGGTTTTTCAAAAAGAAGGACGGTCAACATTGCATTAAATTATTTGCAATGTTTTAAATACAAACCCTTTCTACCTCCCCAAATCTTCAGAGAAGTGTGCCACACATAAAAATGCCTAATGTAAATGCTTGGGGTAGGGGAAAAATCAAAGGAAGCATCTGCATCTAAACTCTGCATCTGGTACGGAGCAAAAAGGAAAAAACAGCTTTAGGAGGTGAGAAATGAATGAATCTGGAATTAAGTAGAAGCAGAAAATTCCAAAATAAAAGAGACTGTAAGCTTTAGAAATTCTCAGAAATCTTGAAAAGCATTTTTGGTGTGGGGTAAGGTTACCTTGAGTCAATAATATCTAAACCTCAAAATGAGGTTAATACTTGGGATATAAATATTTTTTCAAAACATTCTTTAAATCACTCATTCCTATTTTTAGTATTTTTGGATTTTTTCAATTAAAATCTAGGAAAACACAAACAGGGAGTGAAAATTTCCCATAATCCCACCATTGTATAGATTCTTATAAAATTGAGAAGTAAAAAAATACTTCTCTACACCACCAATTCTACCTTTCCAGAGGGAATCACTGTTCCATATATCAGTGTTATATACTTCTAGACTTTTTTCTATAATTATATAGTATATATTTTTACTTAATTTATTTTTTCATCCCCACCCAAGGACATTTTTTCATTGCTTCTAGAGAGAGAAGAAGGGAGAGAAAAACATCCGTGCAAGAGAGAAGCATGACTGGTTGCCTCCCGTACACTGGACTGGGGATCAAACCCACAACTCTTCAGTTACAAGACAACACTCCGACCAGCTGAGTCAGACTGGCCAGGGCTACTTTTCCTTTTTTTAGTCTTTCTAGAAAGAGGACTGTTCTAAGATATATTATGCTGCAACTTGTTTCACTCACTTAACATATTACAAACACTATCTTTCTAGGTAACAACATTTCAAGCTACTTCATTTTCTTAAATGGTTAAATAGTATTTTATTACATGAGTTTATCAGAATATATCTAGTTCCTTATTATTAGGCATTTATGCTTTTTCCAAATTTTTGCTATTATCAATCACTATAGTAAACTCTGTAGGAGAGATTCCTAAGAGTGTAATTCCTGAGTCAAAGCACAGGAACATTATAGTTATTTACAGATAATGCCAAACAGTCCTTCAAAAGGTCCTACAAATTTACATTCCAAAACAGTGTATATAGGAAGTTCCTTTTCCCCCACAAACTTAGATATTAGCAGTAGTTTCAGTTTTGCCAATCAGATTAGCCAAAAAAAATTTTTGGTTGATTTAATTTGGATTTCTCTGATTACTGATTTGTATGAACATCTTTTATATTCATATTGGTCGTATTTCTTCTTCTGAACTGCACTTTAATATCATTTTATTTATTTTTATTGGGCTGCCTTTTTATTGATTTATAGGAGCTTTTATGCTTATGAAAGCAAAGCTTTATATTTTGAGTTGTAAATATTTCTTCTTAGTCCATGTAACAGAGTTCTAGTTGTCTCCTAATAGATATTCTTCCTTTAAATCATGGCATAGTTTAAATAGGCAAATGGTCCCCAGCTAAAGACTGCATTTTCAAGCTTCCCTGAAGCTAGTTTGAGCTTGTGACCAAGTTCTGGAATTCTGATTAGGATAGCAATGAATTTATAGATCAATTGGGGAGAGCTGTCACTTTAACAATATTGGGTCTTCTTATCCATGGACATGGCATACCTTTCCATTTATTTATGTTTTCCTTAATTTCTTTCAGCAAAATTTATAGTTTTTAGTGTAGAAGCCTTAGACATCTCTGTTCAGTTTATTTCTAGGTAACTTATGATTTTGGTCCTACTGTAAATGTTTGGTTTTTTAAAATTTCATTTTCCAGTTGTGTGTTGCCAGTTTATAAAAATACAATTGATTTTTGTATGTTAACCTATGTTCTGCACCTCACTAAATTCATTTATTTGCTCTAGTACTTGATTTATGGATTTCTTAGATTTTTTACATAAATAATCATATCATCTGCAAATACAGTTTATCTCTTCCTTTCCAATCTTTATGCCTTGTCATATCATTGTCTATTGAATGGTTAGGCCCACCAGTATAATATTGAATACAAATAGTAAAAGTGAGCATCCTTGCCTTATTCCCAGTCTCTGGAGTAAGCAGGTTAGTCTTTCATCATTTATTATGATCTTCACTAGACATATTTTATAGGTGCTCTTTATTAATTTGAGAAATTTTCTACTATTTCTGCTTTGTTGAGAGTTTTCATTATGAATGAGTACTGAATATGTCAGGTGCTTTCCCCATATGTATTGAAATCATCATAGAGTTTTTCTTCTTTATTCTGTTAATATGGTGAATAACACTGTTTAACATTTAAAAATCAATCAACCTTGCATAAAGAACCCAAAGAGTCTGAGCAACATCTTGATCATATCACTATCAGTTTTCTTTTTGGAGAAATTCTCACAGAATTTCTCAACAGTTTTCAAATTTTTACAGGTTATAAAATGATTGACCTGATTAATCCTACTGAATTTCATGCCTCCAATGTACACATAATTTAAGAATATTAAAGCTGTCTAATGGAGACTTAGGTAACTTGTTCTTGTATCACATAAGAAAAACATTTGTTAAATGTCACTATTTTCTTTAAAAATGATTTTGCTCAATTTCCCTAGAAAGAGTAGAACCAACTGTATGTGCCTAAAATAATCACTAATTCTAGGCTCCTAAAAACCACAAGAAAAACAATCCCACCCAACAAGGCCATATATATCTTTGTAATATGTTCAGGATAATGTCTTTAATGTTCATCTAATTTTTTCCTGCCACAGTTTAGGCACATTCCCTCTTATCCTACAGCCTGTTAATGAAAGAACAAATACATCTACAATTACAAAGTCTGTGTCATCTGAAGCAGTTATTAAATCACCCTTCACCCTTGCTTTCTCCAAGTTAAATAACCCAAATTTCTTTGCTTTTACTTAATATGTTCTATCTTTTTGAAAGCTCTAATTCTTACATGAAATATTAGGGAAAAAAACTTTTACATACTTCACAAGGATAATTAAGAAAAAATAGAGTTAAAATTACAGTTAAGTAGAACAGCAATCTGATAAGTATAATACAATTAATAATTAATGAAGACTCAGAAAATTAGTCATTCATATATTAATTCTATGCTATGGTTTTACTTCTAACATTCTAGAGCACAGTAATCCTTACCAGGGGACTTTCCTTGCTGTGAGTTGCTTCTTCGCTCTCTGTATCTGGCTGGAGTGGATAAACCTGTGTCTTTTCTAGGCTTGCTAGCAGGCCCCATCTCTGAAATAAGGAATCCCATCTGTTCTGAAGGTAAAATATTCTCAGGTGGATTGGTCTGGCATTTTATACTGGCATCCACCTAAAATATTAAACCCACTCATTATTCTGAATGTTTTCCAAATATCTAAGAGATATTTTATCAGAGGAGTTCTACTATAGAAACATGATCCAACAAACATGCTTGTAAACATCCTTATGAATACTACCTTTAATTTTGTTGATTTAATCTGAATATTCAGTGTTAAGACATATATTCCCCCATAGACAAACCACTGAAATGTGGAGCTAAAACATTTACTTATACTCAGATTAACCATGAAGCTTGATTTTTTTTTGTAAAATTCACACACAAAAAATTAACAATTGGTTAAAATCACTATCTTTTTCCATTGTAGCATCCCTTCCATCAAGTTACTCCTCCTATTGATCATACTGGAAGGCCAAAGGCATAATCCTGTTGGATGATTATCAGTGGAGCTGTGGATGCTTTATTCTGCTAATTTTGTATTCTTTGCCTTCAAGAGGCCCTAAACCCTTATAAAATCTAGATCTGCCCTGCTTATGAGATATGAGTTTCTTTCTTGGAATTCCCAAGTTTTCTTTGGAATGTCAAATCCCTTAGTCAAAGTGACCAACTTCTGAAATACTCCATGTTCAAATATATTTTTTTAAAAAGAAGTAACTGAATGCAATTTTAAGGTATAAAATCTAATATTTTGGATGTGACTATGCAGGAACAAAGACAAATTTTGTGTTCTTTCCATAGGTATATTTGAAACATAATGGGCCTATATTTTGGTCTACTGAATTTACATTATTTTAACACATGATATACTAGGTCTCAACAGCTGGGCTCAAAAACAACAACAACAATGAGTTGAGAGATACCTTAAGACACTTGCATCTAAAATTAGAGCTGAAAAAGAATGCATTTAAAAAACTCCCTAAAAATTATCTTGGGAATCTCTAACAATAAAGATATTTTCAGTCCCATTAAAGAAAAAAATATAAAATATATATATCAGGCTAAGACCAAGAAATAATTACTTTTAAGTTAATTCTTAAAGAGTGATTTTATTTTGTATGTACTTTTATTTAGAATCAAAGTTTATTCATTTTCTGGTCAACAACTAGCAGCAATCATAGAATTAGCCTCTCTATATAAAGTGTGTCTATCAAACCAGAGTCAGAGTTATGCTTTAGGAATGCAGATATTAGTAAGGAAATTCAAACACAGCATATTCACAAGTCAATTAGAATTCAATAACGCTGTAAGAAAGTATAAAAAGACCTCCAACCATATGCTTATTTCCATGCAACAAATGGCTAGGAGGTCCTAATAGTACCTGTCAGATAAACCATCCCTTCTGAGCAGTGGAATTTAATCGGCCAAGCACACCTAGTCCATCCAAATGAAGAGGAAGCAAAACTTGAGGAATGCTTTTAACATGAAAATAAGTCTTATACCACGATGCTCAGATTGCCTCTCTAGAACTTGACATCAGACCATAATATAGTAGAGGATACCTAAAGATTAAGGTTATTTCTTTCTGAATTTTTTGTGCAGAACTACTGGGACATGATCCTTCTAGAAAGCATGATGAATTAATATTAAACCTGAATAAAATCTGAACAAACTCTCCAATAGAACAGCAAGAAAACTAGTTACCTTAAGCTTTATTAGTATTTTTTCTTTTCCCCTTACCTCTTGTGGGCTGAATGAGAGCCCTTCCTGCACAAATACTACTGAAGATGGAGATGGATTCTTACTTAGCTGCTCCTTCAGTTTGACATGAGTTTGTTGGATGGCTGTAGATTCCTGCATTGTAGTATTTTCAACAGGCTGAGCTGTGTGGATGGTATACATGTACTCAGGTGACTGTGGTAGAGAGCAGGTAATTGCTTGTTCTGTTCCAACCACAAAAGATGTAATATCTGAACCTACAGGAGTAAGTGGCTCCAGCTGGCTAGCCTGACTTGTGGAAGACGGATTGCTGTTGCCTGAATTAGGTAGGATATGTTGGCCTCTGCTAGACTGAGATGTTGAGCACTGATTCTCAACAGGCTCCACCTTTACCATCTCCAATTTAGGGGAGGAATGCAACTCATCTAGGATGCGAAAAACAGCCTCTAGGTTTACTTCTGTCTTTTTATTTTCATCAGTAGTACTGCAAGGCCAATTAGAAGGCAGAAATTCAACTGGATAGGAGGATTGCATTGGAGGATTCTGGGAAAAAAGAAAATAGGACTGTTTGGATAGAAAATCAAATATGAGATTAAGGAGGAAAGAAACAACATATAGACTGATGAACACTAAACATAAATAGATTAAACTTAAACTAAAGCCTACTAAAAAACTGGAACACCAATCAACTTTTCATCAGTGGTAGTTTCAGTTCTATTGTTAACATTTACTTAGCAACTATTATATATGTCAATCACTATCCTACATTTAATACTGGAATGGACCAATAATTCCCATGGTTAAAGTATACAAAACCAAAAGCCTATAGTACCCAAATGCCTAATTTGCTGATAAAATGCCTATATACCTAATGCCCTGACTGGTGTGGCTCAGTGGGATGAGCGTCGTCCCACAAACCAAAAGTTCACTGGTTCGATTCCCAGTCAGGGCATATGAGGGCCAGGTCCCTGGATGGGTGCACGCAAGGAGCAACTGATCAGTGTTTCTCTGGCACATCAATGTTTCTTTCTATCTCTCTCCCCTTCCCTTCCTCTCTAACAATAAATAAATAAAATCAAAACAAAAAAAGTGTCTATATATCAAGTTCTTCCATAAATGTTGATGGACAAAACATCACTTGTAGCTATTATATACTGTTTTAGGAATGTAGTAAGGACATTTCAAACACAGGATGCTCACAAGTCGAGCAATGTTACTATAGATTCAGGGGGAGGTACTGTTCCAAATGAATGATCTGAGAAAAATGAATGGAATATCAAATGTCCTTTGGTTTCTGAGATTTTTATATTTTTTAAATTTATTTATTTATTTATTTATTTCTGCTTCATTTGGGAGTTTATTCAGTTTAATTTAATTCACAAATAATATTCAAAGTTTGTACTATGTACCGGGCAATTTGCAGTTAAAATAAAACTCCTTCTCTTTATTGCCTCAGTTAATGGCAGCTCTACTCTCCTTAAATCTTTTAAAAGCTCTCCTTGATTCCTTCTCTTGTCACATCCAGTTCATAAACAAATCTTGTGAGTTCTGTCTTCAAAACCTAACTGCAGTCCAGCTAATCATCATCATCCCTCCCTTGGTTCTACCATTATGTCTCTTCTGGGTTGTACTGTAGTGTTCTAACCAGGCTCACTGCTTCCATTCTTTATTCTCTATTCTCCATACAGAAGTCGAAGTGATTCTTTTTTATTAAATTTACTGGGGTGACATTGGTTCACCATTGTTTATTTTTAGTAATAAAACAATAGATTAAAAATAGCTGTCACTTTTAGATTGATCTTCTATAGATTTAAGGGGAGGTACTGTTCCAAATGATCTGAGGAAAAAAAGGATAGAATATCAACTGACTGTCCTTTGGTCCTTGAGATTGTTTATTTTTAATAATATAACAATAGATTAAAATAGTTGTCACTTTTAAATTGATCTTTAAGATGTATTCTCTTACACATTGCACTTTGCATAGGGTAGGCATTCAATTACATGTTTGCTGATAAATGTTCTCAAGCTATGAACATAAAATACTAAAAAGTAATAATTAAATAAAACATGTAATGAGCCCTGGCCTGGGGGCTCAGTTGGCTGGAGTGTCATCCCCTACACCAAAAGGTTGAGGGTTTGATCCCCAGTCAGAGAACATACCTAGGCTGCCGGTTCAGTCCCCGGTTAGGGTGCGTATGGGAGGCTACCAATCGATGTTTCTCTCTTACATTGATGCCTCTCTGTCTCTCTCTCTCTCCCCCCACCAACCCTTGGCTTCCACTCTCTCTAAAAATCAATTAAACATATCCTCAGGCGAGGATTAAAAAACACACAAAAAATGCAATGAGTTGATGTTGCCAAATGCAGATGTTTGCACAGAGTAGGCATTCGATAAATGTTGATTATCTCAGATTATAAACCAAAAATTCAGAAGAGTTATGATTAAATAAAACCTGTAGTGTGTTGATATTGCCAAACACACTATAATGATTGTGTCAATGATCTGAAGATCACTAATGCCAAATAATGTAAATTTAATGGTTTAAGTATCAAGCAACTTTAATATAGCCAACAGCACCATTTATTGAGTTCTTACTATGTGCCAAGCATGTGAAAATTGCTTTACATATATTATTTAACTTAATCCTAAGAAGTCTACAAAATGTGATCATGTCCATTTCCATATGATAAAACTTAAGTTCAGAGAAACTTCATAATTTACCCAAAGTCACTGTGAAATAACTGATAGAACCAGGTTTCAAGCCTGACTCAATAGTTGTTGCTCTTAACCATTACAATAAACAATGAACTGATCATTCATGCACACTGTCACCGATACCTACAATCCAACTTATTGCATTTATTTCCAGAATGGCATCTGGACTACTTCCCCTTTCTTTCCATTTTAAAATTTCATGTCTACTTATCTTTATTTTCCTACAATAAACATGCATTGTCCTTGTAGTAACAAAAGGTCTTTAAAGATGTTTTTAATGATTTAAGACAACCATAATCAAGATACGAACACTGTCAAGAGTATCACCAGAAGGATTCAGAGGAGTGTCTGGATTCACAAACAAGAGCATCTAGTTTGTGTGACAGATAGGTTCCTCTAGTCAAGAGAAATAGACTGGACTATCATGATTGATGGTATTTGCCATTAAAAATGTCCAACTAAGCCCCCCGCATCTGATTCTATACTCTCCAAAGAACAATCTGATTATAATTTGACTTGCCATGTAGACTTTCTCAAAAAAAAAAAAAGAAAGAAAGAAAGAAAGAAAGAAAGAAAGAAACAGGAATGTTCTTTTGAGCACCGGAATGCCAACAGTAAGATATTCTCTTAAGAACAGAAGCTGTCTTGGCTACATGTAATCAAAAGCAAACACATAATTCCAATCTTTAAGCAATTATAGCATAAAATACAAAGCATAGACTTTAATTTTATCCTAGAAATATCAATTTAAAACAACTGCTTCATAATAAATAATGAGAAGATAACTGAAGTGCATTGTTTACAACATGGGTGCTGAAGGGGACCAGCACTTAAAATTCTTTCTTTTACATCCTTTTTTCTTCCCTAAAGAAAAAGTAATTATCCATGACATCTTGGAAGAATCTGTCATTTGGTGACCTATATATATACTTTTAGAGCTCATCTGGTATTCATTTTACCTTGGAAGAGCCTGGAACAGCATTGTTCCAACTAACTCTCCTATCTGTGCTGTGCAATTTTGGTAGCTACAAGTCTTATGAGACTACCGAGCACCTGAAATGTGGTTAGTGTGACTGAAGAACAAATTGTATTTAATTTTAATAAATGTTAATTAAAATAACCATATGTGGCTACTGTCTACTGTATTGGACAGTGCAGGCCTAGAAGAGTCCTCAGACATCATCTATATCAACTCTCCTTTTTAAAATTCAGAAAACTGAGGCCATAATCCACAGCTTACCTCTGGCTATTCATTAAGATAAAACTGCACTTTGAAATTCTCCAAGGTCAATACTGTTGCACCTGATACACAGAGTCTATGTCTTTTGTTTTAAGATCTTACCTGGAAGTAGTTGCAGTGTGCATAGGTAGAGGCAGTGGGAGTAACACAACTACTGAGAGCGTCCATGTGGGTAGAAGGAGAGCAACACTGTAACACAGCTGGAACAAATTCAAAATTGAAAATCCATCAACCAAAATAAACCTCTATAGCATTCAAGGTACTCTCCTTTTTCATATTTGAAAGAAAAAGCTTTCCTTTGCAGGTACAATAAAATATATTTAGTCCTGTTAGGTGTTATTGTTTGTTGAAAACATGATAATAAATTAATTTAAAAAGTCACCTAAAAGTATCATGTCTAGTTTTACAAATGATTTCTTTAGCACCTAAACACTTTGTTACTTTTCTAACCAAACAGTTATTCTTATTAAAAGTAATTTCTTTTTGTTGAAAATACCAGAACATATTTGGAATTCCCAAATAATTATTTCAATCATTTTAATAGTACCAGACATTTTGAGAAGGATGTGTTTTTAAGGATAAAATAAGTATGAAATACCCTCCCAACATTCCTATCATTATACAATGCATTCAGTGAGATCTATGCAAAATATGCCTTAACCATTTTAGACAAGTGGTTAGGGAATTGGATCCTAGTACCAGGACTGTCTGGCTTTGGAGCCCAGATCCAGAAATTTAATAGCTATAAAAATTTGAGCAGGTTAATCACTTTGGGCTTCGGTTCCTGCATCTAAATAGAATAGAGATAGTAATAGTACCTACCTCACATGTTTCTGTGAGGAATAAATGAGTTAATATGCATAAAGCACTGATAGCAGTACTGGCACACAGTAAGAAATCAATAAACAAATAGCTAACATTGCTATTATTTTAACTAAAAAAATACATTTTCCAAACTTACTCTTATAGCAAGGATACCATAAAAAGGCTGAACTGTTTATACTGGGATAGTTATACTTACAGATGCAGTCTTAATAATAGTTGAGCCTCCTCTTTTCCAAAGGGAGACTCTCTAGAATGAATGAGAATCACTTATTACATCATATTTTTGGATTAAACACAGGATGACATTCGTTGAGCACCTACTTGACTGCAGGCACAGTACTCGGTGCTTTACATATATCATCTCATTTAATCCAAACAACAACTGAATGAGGTATTAAGACTACTTTACAAAAATAAGGAAACTAAACCTCAAAGATATTAAATAATTTGCCAAAAGTCACAAAGCTGGCAGTCACAGATGCACTAATCAAACTCCAAAGCATGTGCCCTTGAATATACCACAATACTTCCCTCATTTCCTTTTTCCTAGAATGTACATTTTAATTTTACTTGAACTCTACTTGAATATTTTTAAGGTGTCTTTATGATAAGGTGCAACTTTCTCTTTTTATGTCCACATTTTTCATATTTCCAGTGTACTAATAAAATCACTAAGTAATCTAATTCCATAATCTTTGAAAGTAAATTAGCTCAAGTATTATAAAAATGCATTGAAATGCTTCCCTCTTTATTATTGACTACTGATATTTAAAATGTTGGCAGTTCATAAAGGTAGACTAGAAATAAATATTTTCTTATTATATCAATGGGCCATTTAAGGCTTTAAATTTTTCACATGAAAGGAAAAAATGGAAATAATGGACAGAATTCTAGTTCAGATATAGATATTATGAAGTCAAACTGTTGTCACTTCCAATATATGTTAGGCAAACAGGTTCTTACACTGTATCCTTAGAGGTTATTAAAATGTTTTGGATTTGAATTTGGTTTCCCAGGAGATTTGAAAGCATAAATGTCCTAAGAAATAATATAACTGAAAAAAAGCCATACACTGAGGAGGGGTCTGCAGGGTTTGCCAAAACTCTGGGGGGAAAAAAAAGCAAGGACTTTTTTTTACAGTTTTAACAGCTAAGGAAAACCGAGCCCCCTAGCGGCAGGAAAAAGACAGTCAGAAGCTATAGGTTTACACCCATCACGGCACCATCAGTGTTTAATTAAAAATAAATCAATGAAAGGTATTAGTTTTAATTATCTGATATTGCTATGTCTGACTCCAATGGTTAAAAACTACACATTTTAAATAGTTGTTAAAAGTGTACTTTAAAATTAATTTCTTGGAGAAATAAAATAGAATATACAACAGAGAAAATATTGCTAGATGATCACTGAGTTTGCTATCTAAGGAAACAGCAAAATAGTGAAATGTCCTTTAAAGAGTCCAGTGATGCCCTGGCTGGTGTGGCTTAGTGAGTTGAGCAGGTTGAGGGTTGGTGGCCTGTGAATAGAAAGGTCACTGGTTTGATTCCTGGTCAGGGCACACATCTGGGTTGCAGGCCAGGTCCCCAGCTGGGGATGTATGAGAGGCAACAGATCGATGTTTCTCTCCCTCTCTTTCTCCCTCTCTTCCCTTTCTCTAAAAAATAAATAGCACCTTTAAAAATACTTATAACATGTCTGGTAACAAATGGAAAGTAGAAAGTTACCTCATGAAAAAAAGAACTTGACTAGATAATCCAAAAAGATTTCTCAATGCCTATTTCCTTACCAGTGCAGTCTTTCTTTGTACAGTCAACAAAACAGAACAAAGCCAGCTATTATTAAGCTTATTGAATACAAAAACTTAGCTATAGAAATGCAACTGTCTCCTTGATACACGACAAATTAATCTAGTGTGTATTATGAGTTTATTACTATGTCCTAAAACACACATAAAAAACTTCCAGTGTCTTGCTGAAGGCAGGGGTAAGCCATTAAATTGCAATTAGGATGAAAAAGTGGAAAAATGAACAAGATTCTATTTCAGATATAAATATGAAGTTGATTACATTTTTAAAACAATTCTAGTATTTAAAAAAAGCCAGATTACTAAAAATTATCGAAAGGTACACTTTTTTAAATAAAAAAAGGTAAACATTTTCATTCTCACTATAAGTTAGGAAAACAAGTTCATATACTTTATCCCATGAAGGTAACTCAAATATATAATTAAAATGGTTTGAACTTGAATCCACTCCAAAACAGTACAGTGTCAACAGTGAGAATATGCCCAATATAAATTCTCAGAAGAAAAACATCCTACTGATAAATTTAATTTCAAGATAAATTACTATAGCAACTAGAACCCCAATATCTCCTTATTTGTGATGAGGTAAAGAAAAGGTCATCTGGGCATATTCCCAAAAGAAGTGAAAGCAGAACAGATATTTGTGCATCCATGCAGCAGCATTATTCAAATAGCCAAAAGGTAAAAGCAGTGCACTGTCTACTAACAGAGGAACAGATAAACAAAATGTAGTACATACATACAATGGGAAACCATTCGGCATTAAAAAGGAGGGAAATTTTGAAACATGTTACATCAGTGAACCCTAAAGATATTATACTAAGTGAAATAAGCCAATTACAACAGGAAAAATATTGTATGAGTCTTCTTATATGAGGTTCCCACAGTTGTCAAATCCTTCAAGACAGAAAGTAGAATGGTGGTTGCCAGGAGCTAGGAGAAGAGGAGAATGTGAAGTTGGTGTTTAACGGGTATGGCGTTTCAGTTGTGAAAGAAGAAAAAGTTCTGGCGGTGGATGGTAGCTATGCTAGTATAGCAATGTGGATGTATTTAATGCGACAAAACTGTACACTTAAAAATGGTTTAAATGGTAAATTCTATGTTATGTATATTTTACCTCAATAAAAAGAAAGGCAAACAATAATTGTGCCTTTCTTTAGTTTCTTCCGGCAGCTAAAGAGAACTTCCTGGTGTATCTATGGCAAAATCCCTCTTTCCATAAGAACAAAATCAGGCCTTTTCAGAGAAACTAACAAAACAGACTACCTGAGCACAGGAGTAACAGCATCAGAAGCCTAAAGATCAAATTTTAGAATTTAAATGTGCTTTAAAATAAGAAGCAACTTTTTGCCCAAGAGTCAATTCAAAATTTTTTTAAATGATGATATGTATTTTTCAATAAAAAATTTAAAAATCTTATGTACCTTGGGGGGAAATGTATATTATTACATATTATTTAGGCTCATTCGAAAGATAGCTTCTGAACTATTTTATCCTTTATATGTATTATTTTAAATTTTATAGTCTGTTCATATATATTAATTCATTTAATTCCTGACCCAAACAATTGTTGCCACTTTATAGAAAGGGAAATTGAAGCTGAGTGATATGAAATAAGCTGCTGAAGGTCATGGTGGATGATTAACTGCAAAGCCGAGACTAGAATGATTCCATTCCATTCAATAAGTTATTTACTAAGGGCCCAGTATAGCCAAGCACTATACTATGTTAGATGTAGGCAGGTACAGAAATGAATTAAAGGGAGACCCGCTCTTCAAAGGCTCCAGACAGGACCTCCCACTCTAGCAGGTGAAGTATGTGCTCTGCTTGAGCAGGGTGAGTCAATATATAACCCAGGACAATCCCACTGCCACCAGTAGCATAGAAGGGAAGGTCCCTCCACCATTCTCTGTTGTCTACCCTATTTGGGAGTAACTAACTCAGGGGAAGAGATATACCAGGAAAGAGTCCTCCAAAAGCAAAGCAAAACAAAATTTCCATCTTTGTTTGAGAGGCAGGCAGGCAGGCAGGCAGCAGGGCAGTGCCCAAAAGAATGGACTATTGAGTCAGTTTGCCCTGACTCTGCCTCGTTGTGCTTCAAATTCCTAATCTATAAAATTAAATAATTATATTTCCTATTTTATAAGGTTGCTGTGATGATTAAGTGAATTAACATTTGGAAGGTATTCAGAACAGTGTGTGTTCATAGTGATTGCTATATAAATATCTGTCAAATAAAAACATGAGATGAAGGGAATCTATAAATTGCTAATCACTGCTTTGAATTTAAAACTTAACTTTGAAAAAAGACAAAGTTGATTTTGAGTCAATGCATCATTATAACATTAGTCAAAGGAAAAGAATTCCTCAATACAGGATTCTCTCTCTATATAAGTATGAATATATTAATATTCCTATATTTGTTCAAATAATAGAGAATGAGTAAAATAAAAAGGTCTAAAATGAAGTTTTATTTTAAAAGGGAATTAAATTAGAGCAGCACACTATGAAAATAACATCAAAGGAAAAAAACTGAATTCAAAGTAGGGCAAAAGTACAAAGAGTCAGCAAATACTAGATCTACATTTTGTCTTTGAAGGAGTGATGAGTTAAAAAATAGGCAATGTTAGGCAAAGAAAGCATACATTCAAGAGAGGAATGAAAAATGTAAGAAATTATTCAGATGAGTCATTTTATAAGTCAGTCTGATGGCAATTTTTTTAGTCTCAATGTTTGGTTTTACTAGAGGAATTAATTTATGAAATATAACAAAATTCAGAATTTACTGATTATGCCAGATCCAGGTGTATTTTCAATATAATTATTAAATGAAATTGGATGTTGTTTTTTACTAAAATTTGATCAAAACTCCAAGACATATAGCTCATTCCAAAAGGATTTAAGTATGACCATTTTCCAAAATTAGTTACTTAATTAGGACTTACACAGCTGGATTTGGGAGTGTTTGTTATTGTGCCTCTGAGAATAATACTCTATTTAACTTTGGTAAAGTTATTTGTAATATTCTTCATAAATAAGTATTTATAAGTTATTGGTTAAATTGCTTACTCCTTTTTCCTTCCTTTACCTAAAGTGTGAAAGAATTAAGTACTTGTACAGTATTTTTATGGCACTTTCTTTTCCATAGTAGGTCTTCTGTATTTAACAGTACAACTTTTGTTTATGTAGTACTTCAGAATGTTCAAAACAGTTTGCCTATATTATATCAAAGAACTACTCTATGTATTAGAAGTCTTCATGAGATCATGAGATTTCTCATAACCTCAGAAACTCTATAATCATTTCAATTATCCTTATTAAGAGACAAAACAGCCCTGACTAGTGTGGCTCACTGGATTGAATGCCAGCTTGCGAACCAAACGGTTGCTGGTTCAATTCCCAGTCAGGGCACATGCCTGGGTTGCAGACCAGGTCCCCGGCACGGGGCACACGAGAGGCAACCACACTTCTATGTTTCTCTCCCTCTTTTTCTCACACCCTTCCCCTCTCTCTAAAAATAAAATCTATAAAAAAAAGGCAAAACAAAAATTCGGATAACACAAGATTCTATTTCATATGCACTGCACACTATCAAAACATCAGCAGCACTTACTTGTCCTTTTAATGTTTCTTTCCTAGTCTTTACCTTGAACTCTAGGAGATGATTTTCAAATCGTAAATTTATATCCAAGCTAACATAAAATATTTTTAAGTAACGTATCCTAAATCATATTTTAACAACTAGTATTTCTATAATGAATGAATATTATTAACTGTTTATAATGTTTTCTGATAAATAATACATACCTGATTCTCATAAAATTTAGAACTATGAGTTTCCAAGAGGATTGTGTGGAATTTGGAATATATTTTCCCATGGAAACAACATCATACAGGCTAGTTTGACTCCTGAGCCAGACTATAACAATCTTTACCTTAAGTGTAGGACTAATGGCAATATAGAACTTAACCACCATATCTAATATGTCTGTTAAAAATGCCTCTAAAATTCCAAATTGAAAGGCCAAGCACATTTGTACATCTCTCTGCTACAGTCCTTCCAAATTTCAACTCCCCAGAAATTTTTGAGTCTTTAATGTTTTAGGAGGAGAGTTTGGAGTGGGGTTAGTAAAGGAAAGAGCAACATTTATTGGTAAAAGGAGGGGAGGTAAGGTTACTCTTTAGTTTATGGGCTACAGAGTATAAAGCAAGTATTAGGAAGACTATATAAAGCAGGCTAGGAAGACAAACTGTATGTATATATTCTACAAATACAGGGAATGCAGCCAAAATTATAATGTAGAGAGCCATGCCTAATGTGTTTATTAAAACATTGGGTTAAACTCACTAATAAAAATCTGACCCTATTTGTTGCTATACATAAGATATATAACTTATAACATGAAATCAGTCATCTGTTTTTAAAGATCACATATATAGTTTTGTTCTTCCATGATATAGCTGACAATCTGGAAAAATACTCAGCCTCAACCTTTTTCTATATAAAAAGGTAAAAACACTTAATTTCTAATAGGCAAAATGATTAAAAGTGTTAAATCATCCTTATTCCATATAATCCCTTCCCCCTTTTCTTCTCAACTCCATCCACAAAAACAGTGGTAGATCAAAAAAATCTATAAAACCCAATTTAAACTCTGGTTTTATTATTTTAATATTATTAAAGTTAAATGCCTTGGGAAAATAAAGCAATCCCTTTTACTACTATATTTAGGTAGAATGTAATGAACCCACGTCAAAAGAATATAGTTGGATATTACAACTAGAAAAAGTTGGATATTACAGCTAGAAAATAGTGAGCACTGTTACAAATAGGATAGTTAACCAGATTTATAACATTTAAAAGGCAACAAGTTATTTAATTCCCTTATCTAATTCACATTCCTTCCATTTATTTTAGCTTTTGATATCATCCTACCTGAGAGAAATAGTCTAACAAGTACCTCTAGAGATTGCTTCCTCATCTACATATCGTGAGTAAATTAATATTCCTAGAGTCTTAATTCACAGGGCAAAGAAATGCTCCTTTCTTCTCTCCTTGATCTTTTCTGAAAGCCTTGACCCTTGTCTTGTTTTTATGGCCCCATTTCATCACTGTGTAAAGCACACTACATGATGAAACACACACTTCAGCTATGGTGCTTCTGCAAAATAGAATATACAGTTGAATAAAACAGTAGGGATATTGTCTTGCCAAAATGTATTTTCGCTTCCCTCCCCCACAAACAAGACCCCTAGAAACTAAACAGATGGTCACTAGCACAAGAATTCCCAATCAGGGCCTTGAGATCTACCAGTATGTCTTCAGTGCCCTTGGTTGAGATCTCAGTCAGTTGTCATTGTCAGGTTATCCTCTTTGCTATTCCCCAGTTCTTAGTTGGCTGAATTAACACTGCAGGGACCATACTGTCAAACCATACCATCGCGTTTTTACTAAAAGAATATAATTTAGTTTTAAGAGATGGAGAGCATACTCTTTTATTAAACTTCATTACTGAGATACTAAAATGATTTCATTATGAGGTAATCTCACCTATAAAACTATATTAAATGTTTAATATGTATGTAATTAAAACGAATAATTCTGCCCCAAGGATAGAGTTATAGCAAGGTTCAGTGTACTAAGTCTTAATTTCATTAGTAGGACACATTTTAAAGACACAAAAGTTTCACTAAAAACATACACCAACAGAATTTTCACAATCCTTAAGAATATGTGAAATTTTATATGTTACTTAAAAATGTTTTGATGAGAAATCTTTGATATTTCTTAGGTGTATATTCCTAGCATTTCTGTTTAAGCATGAAGAAATGCATTTAAAAATATAAATGCTGCTTATAAAGTACCTTAAGAGAAGCCATTGAACTTGAATTTCTCACCTGTTGGATAGTAGGCTTGGGAGTACTGTGCTGAGGGTGTGTAGTTACTATACTTTTGAGAGGAGCTGACCATTGTTTGAGGACCTTGCTGAACATGTACAGATGTGGTGCTGGGCTGCAGGGTATAGGTAACTTCAGTTGGAAACCTCTGCAGTACAGGAAATGGAACCCCTTTATCTGAAAAAGTGGGAGACGTTTCTACTTGTCCTGGGTGCATTCCAAGGGAGTTCTGCCATGTTCTAGGAGGAATCGGGGTCCGATCTAACCCTTTCAGAGAGAAAGTATTGTGGTTGTGGGATGAAGTTGATACGTAGGAATAAGGAGACAGACTGTCTCGCCGGAATGACCGATGAAATTGTCCTACAGCCACTGGTCCTGCATAAAAAAGGAAGAGTACATTTATTAATTTTACACTACACCCCTGGATGTAGGAAACCAAAAGACAAAAAATACATACTGCTCTTCACCTATGAAATGTTAAGTTTTCAGTCATTTTTAACACAAAAGAAATTAAGTATTGTAAAAACAAGTTCAAAATCCAGAATAAGAGATTACATCTATATTGCTGAAAAAATAATTGAACTTTTATTTGGTCTCAATATGACTGTCATAATGTGGCAAAACTGTAAAATTAAACGGAATGCTAAACCAAATATTCAATGTTAAAAGCCTTTTATAAATTATTTAGTTATCTTAACCTTTGACCTCAGTTGATAGACCCTAATTTTTCCAATCTGTAAGCCACTTCCTAGAAGCTTTAGAAATTCCATTCTGTCTTTCAAATCATTTAGGAAACTTAATAACAGGCACACAAATAAGCATATATATATATATATATATATATATAAAAATATAAATTTCTTTCTCATGTATACACAAACACACACATGCACATATAAATAAATAAATAAATATATAAAAGAAATAAGTATGGACCAGGCCCTGGCCAGGTAGCTCAGTTGGTTGGAGCATCATCTTGATACGCAAGGTTGTGGGTTCAATCCCTGGTCAGGGCACATGGAATAATCAACCAATGGATGAATGCATAAATAAGTGGAAGAACAAATTGATGTCTCTCTCTCCCTTCTTCTCTCTCTCTCTCTAAAGTCAAAAATATTTTTTATAAGTGCAGAACAGATAAAAATTATAATTTTTATAATTTTTAACATTTATTAAAATGTTAAACCAAAAAGATATTTAACATTTTTTGCTCCCTTTCAATTTTTTATTAAAAAACAATAATCTTTGCAGAAAAGTCAAGCCTGAAAACTTTGACTTAGTTCTCTTCTTCATTCCTTAAATCAATCAATAATTTTCCATAGTCTTTTTATTTTTTTCTTCAGAGTATCTCTAGTGATGCCCCTTCCTAGATATCAGTGACTCTCAAATACTGTAAAACCTCTGAGTCACCTGAAGAGTTTGTTAAAAATCCAAATACTCAGGCCCAGAAACTCTGATTATTTGCTTTCTTTGCTCTAGAAAGGTAGAAAAGAATTAAAAAGAGGGTATGAGGAAGAGAAAGGGCAATACTATGTAATAAGGAAAAGGAAAATATAAATGTTACAATCTGGACTTATTTTATAGGGTGGGTTCTTGAACATAAACAAAGCTAGTCCAATTTATTCCTAGAGAGGACTTTATGTATTAAATTATGTGGTTCACAAATGCCATTCAATTTGTTTCGTTAAACAAATCTATAAAACAGAGGGAAAGTTTAATTTATATGTTACTCATCTGTTAAAGCACATAGTGAAAAAAGACACTCAAATACTTACTTTTTCAAATAGTTAACCTGCAACCCCATTCTACATGTTACACTCGATTCGTTTTATTTCTATGGTGTTTGGTTCCTCCAAAGAATAAAGTATTAGGGAGTAGTTCCTAACTACTTCTGCTTTGGCCCTACCTGACTTGAATTGAGTTTTGCTCAAATAAACTCTTATGAAAGTAATAAAATTGAAAAAAGCATTAATGCCAAAAATAAACAAATATATACATACAAATACACAAAATAATTTCTGAAACCCTGGAAATCAAAAGCTCTAAACCTAATGGGGGAAAAAAAATCTTAGTTTCAAAGATTGTACTTAAATGATATAGCTCTTAAAAACCACTTTTCCTCTTTTCCTTTAAAGTACAAAAAATAGTTTTTATGTTACTTGACTAGCAATTCCATATGTATACACACTGTGAACTCACCATTGACAATTCTTTCTTTTAAAACTTAGAAACATTTTTTGTTCTTCACAACAGGTATTTCTGAGGTCCAAAACTACTCAATACTTGATTATGCCTCAGACGTTTCATGTGCTAAAACTACATATTGCTACAGTGTGCAATAGCTCACTAATCCTTTTTCTTCCCTCTTTAAAGTTAAGCTGTTGATGAATTTTCAGACTGTCAATAATTTAAGCAGTTTATTAAAGAATTCTCTACTTTGATTTCTCAGTTTCTGGTTTAGATCTGAATTAAAACATAAATTCTACTTCTATCAAGATAAATTCTGAATGATGGCAAAGTATTTACATATTTTAGATGCTGCTAACAGAAAATCACTGTTAGGATTAGGAGAACATTCCTTTAGCCCTGGCTGGTGTGGTTCAGTGGATTGAGCACCAGCCTGTAAACCTAAGGGTCATTGGTTCAATTCCTAGTCAGGGCACATGCCTGAATCGCAGGCCAGGCCCCCAGTAGCAGGAATGCGAGAGGCAACCAAACATTGATGCTTCTCTCCCTCTCTTTCTCCCTCCCTTCTCCTCTGTCTAAAAATAAATAAATAAAATCTTTAAGGGGGAAAAAAAAAGAACATTCCTTTAAATCTGTTTTTTGAAATAAAAATTTAAGACATGTTCAGCTCTTAATTTATTCTTCTCTTAAGGATTACCTCATAGCATTCCATTCCAACTTTACAGATCATCACCTATGTCTTCAGAATAACTTTAAGATACATTTGGCAAAGTTTAAGTCCAGAATTTGGGAAATGTAAGGCAGGATGAATTTCTGTTCTTAGAAATTGTATTCCTCCTGTGTAAATGAACTTGAACTAATCAATCCCCAAGTAAAGAACTTGCCTCCTGTCCAAAACCTGTCTCTTTAGAGCTTGGTAGCCCCAGGCAAAGATAGATTAACTACTCCTCAGACTTGTTATGTTACTTAGTTTAGAAAGTTTTAACAAATATTTTAAAAATTACCACTAAAAGTAAATAAATAATAAAGTAAAATGCAAGAATAAAAACAATTGCCACTAAAAACAAAATAATAAAAGTGAACGAACAAATAAAGAAAAAATGTGTGATCCTCACATTTCTTATCAAGACATTCACAAAAAAGTAAAAAGGACAGCTGGCTCAAGGATTTAGATAAGGGAACTAGATCCTAAAACAAAGGATTGTACCGTAAGAGAGACAGCAGTATTCAAACCCTAAACTGAAGTAGAACACTAAAAACAAATGGAAACTAAGAAGTATCAGTATAGTAAAGCATATAACGAAAACAATTAAAGCAGAATAAAAATTAAATGAGGAAAAATAGAGGAGCTAAGGACTTAGAATATGGAATTAAAGCAAAACAAAATTGGGCCAATATTCTTGAACTTAGAATTGCATTCCACCCAAGCTAGTAACACTATTCCCTAGTGAACAAAGCGTGGTATAGGCAATCCATATCTGACACACTTTATGTTCATACCAACAGGCAGAATGGTTAAAAAACAAAATTCATGAAAACTACAATCATCTAGGTATATATGGATTAATGTATTATTTATACTGGAAAGATATGAATTGCATGTTTTTCAACAAATAATCTTTAAAAGTGCTGGTCAACTGAAATAGAAGTGAAGAAAATCCGATCCTAGATAGCTCTTGTATTTCCTCAGTTCAAATGGACTCTATCGTTAGAATACAATTAGATTTAAGATACATGACGGAAAAAGAAAATCAGAGAAGAGAAAAAGGAAAGCAAGACTTGGTTTTTATGTTTATACATATGCACGTATGTTTCTTTGTTTGAAGTGGGTATCCTAATTCTCTCAGGAACCCATCTTCACGTCTTTTTTCCTTGTGCTCACTAGACACACAACCTGAATACCAAACATCCATGGCAGAGTCTGCTAAGGGTATGCCATGGTATTGTCTCCCATTGCCTTTCCCCATTCGATTCCCCACCAAAATCAATGCCCATCATATGGAAGTAGCTTAATATTCCTTCAGAATTCCTTTAGAACATTCCTATGCCACTGCTACGTTTCCAGCTTGTTACTAGAACTCTAACCTAATCCCTAATCTTCTAAACTCCACAGACACAACCTAATCCCTTCTAAATTCCAAACCAACAAAGTGCTGCCTCATTCATAACTCTGGGCTTAGGTTAAATTGAACACAGCGTTACTTTTATTTGTATATTTTTAAAGTTTTCCCTAACTGAAAAGTAACCTAGAAATCTTTATGTTAAATCTATGTTAACATGCTGAAAATGTTTCTATTACTCCCCTACTTGAAGGTAAGGCATGAATTCTCAGCATTATGTCCTGTTACTTTCTGGGAGTTCATACCATAGCCTTAAACAGAGAAGGGGAATACTGCCACTCTCACCTTCCTGGAAGAAAGGGAAGAGCATCGGAAGTCAAGTTTATAAAATAATTTTCTACCCCAGAGAATTTCTGAACTTTTAGTAAATACGTATGTATAAATACAAAGTTTTTCAAATACTGAAAGATTATAGCCAATAGTCAAAAATTCAAAGGCCATAAATGTGAGCTTCCTAAAATTCTTTGTAACTAAAACTTGACAGCTGAAAAGTCATTTTCTCTTTACATGTGTCCAACCATAACCTCTTAAAACAAGCATCATCTCTCACTAGCTACAGTGAAAGAACAGTTAAGCCAATTCATCCCGCATAGGAACAATATCTGGTTAACAATAAAATGTTCCTTTTTGCTCTTAAGATACATAAACGATTTCTTATCATTCTATGCATTACTTGGAGCCTAAAATACGATTATCGTCAGAACATTTCTTTCAAGATTTCTTAGTTTGTCACTTGGTGGAAGACGGCGTGTCTCTTCAAGGGCAAACTTCCACTCACAGTACTTTGTTCACTTTCTCTTGGTTGGTATAAATGGTCCAAGTCTTCCTTGAAGCACCAAGTGGCCCGGTGCTTCCACAAGGGGCCACTTATTCTAGATGCTCACGTCTCATGAAGGTAAGTGACGGAGATAAGGAGCTGAGGAGGGGTGCGGGAAGGGTGGACAGAGAGTGAAAAGCAGAGGTCCCTGTGGCTGCTAGTGGACACAGAAGGGACTAAATGCCTACACTTTCCAGAGCAGGCGGGTGCTGGTGCTAGGGACAACAATGCGGGTGACGCGCCCGGTGAGGATCCTGGGTGCATTCCAGATACCTCAAACATGAGGAGGGCGTGCGACAATGTCTTGGCAGTGACAGTTGCCCCCTGAGCCCATGTGCCCTGCGGTGGGCGAGGACCGAGTAGGTCCAACAGGACTCACCGTGCGGCTCGGGCCGGGGTCCTGAGGGCGGCGACGGCTCCTGGTGCTGCAGTGGGGAGGTGGAGGCGGAGGCCGAGGCCGAGGCCGAGGCCGAGGCCGCGGAGGCGGATGCCGACGTGATGAGGAGCCTCTGGAAGCGGTTGGGCGGGCGGCAGGGCACCTTCAGGCCGGCCGCCAGCTTGGCCTTGTTGGCGCTGGTGAGCCTCTTGAGGTGCACGAGCAGCTGCGGCTGGTCGCGGCGGAAGTGCGGGCTGTGGAAATGGTGGAGCGGCCCATCGCCCGCCGGCCCGCCACCCCCCGGCCCCGGCCCGGGACCCGCAGCGCCCGGCCCGCCCAGCACCACCTTGCGGAAGCCGTAGAGGTTGAGCTGGCGGATGAAGCTGGTGAAGTTGGTGGTTTTGAAGAGCTCGGGCTCAGCCCCAGCACCCCCGACGCCCCCGCTGCCCGCAGCGCCCCCGCTGCCGACTCCAGCTCCCGCCCCGGGCGGGCTGAGCAGTTCCGCCTCGAAGAGCGGCTGGTCGATGAGCAGCCCCTCGCCGCGGCCGTCCCAGCGAATCGAGCGGTACCGAGGGCTGTTCACCAACCGCCACAGTTTGGCGGGGAAGTTGTTGGGGTTGATGGGGGTGGAGAGCAGCGTCTCCTCCATCGCCCCCGCCTGGGCCCTGGGCCTCGCCCCACCGAGTCCGGCTCTCCTGCCCCCGTTCTCGATCCCCCAGGCCTTCGCTTTGCCCTGCCCCCTCCTGCCAGCTCCCGGCCTTCACGGACCTGGGGACCGTTGGCGTACGAGCCCCGATGCGCCTTCCAGCGCGGCCAATGGGGCCTCGAGTTCCCACCACGCGCCGGGAGGAGGTGCCAGCCGGCCTGCACCCTCGGCGCAGCACACCCAGCACACCCGGCCCGAAGGGTGCCGTCGCCTCGACCACGTGCGGCAGTGCGGGATGAGTGGGGTGTGACGGAAGAAAGTCACATTCCCTCGGACTGCCACCTTGGGCTGGAAATTGCTGCCCACCAGGTAGGGTTAAATCCTGCAAAGAAATGAGCCCAATTATCCATCATGGAATACTAAGATTCCTTTACTTCACTATAGCCAGCATGTGGGGAGTTAGAGTCTGGGAAGCGTGCATTTGGCAGTACATAGTCAATCGTTCTTGAGAACAAAGGGCCTAACTTGGTAGTCTTAGTACTAACAATTGAATTGTTCATCCGTCCAAATAAAAATGATGGTGGTGGTAGGGTAGTATCCTGAGTAAAAAAATTCACCTTTTAGATAGCATTTTATATATTTTTAAATTCACTTTTAAGCGAGGATTTTTCTCACAACAATCTACTCAAGGTGAGATAAAAACTGAAGAGAAGGGAGCGAGGAGAATATAGGCACAATCCTTTGTGCCTGAACAACCAGCTGGTGAAATTTTAGACCTTAATGAGAAATAAACCTCACATGATGGAATAAAGTTCTATTGTATCAATATGGACAACTCCTGCCCTGGCTGGTGTGGCTCAGTGGACTGAGTGCTGGCCTGCTGCTGGCTGGATGCTCAGTCAGGGCACAGGCCTGGGTTATGAGCAAGGACCCGTTAGGGGCGTGTGAAACAACATATCCATGTATGTCTCACACATTGGTGTTTCCCCTCCCTCTCCTTCTCCTTCCCTTCCCCGCTCTCTAAAAGTAAATAAATAAATTAAGGACAACTCCCTATCTAATCAATAAATAAGAATGTAACAGAAGCTGTGCTGATTTAAAAAATAGAAGTCCATAAAAAAATGGAAATGGTTAGGAGGAAGGAGTGTAAGGTTTTAGCCCTTTCTCATGGTCAAAGAAAAAAATGAGTACACATTAGGTTTCCTTAAAAATTAAAATGAATAAAAAGACCCAACAAAGCAGCACTAATATAGAGATTTTATTTAAACTGTATTGAGTTTTTACAGCACATTGCATTTTTGTCACAACGCAACTGCACAGTTTGGATTTTTGGCCACATCATGTCACTTACACCCACAAGAGCTCTGAAAGGAGTATTTGATGAATACATCTGAGCCCAGAGTCTCTCTCCAAGGCCATGCAGTATGTTCACTGATAGGATAGTCCCTCAAAACGGCCATACAAAATAGACAGATACAGTCCCCTCAAATGTTACCGATCTTACTCCCCCTGAAAACAGGCAGAGTGAAGAGCAATGAAAGTCAAGCTAATTAAATAGCCACTCACAACTGGCAGTAAATTTTAATGATTGAGAAAATGCTCAGAATTTTATGTGTCAGAGACAAGGGATAGCTTGTTACTTTTTCAATGATCTCAGGAATTTCCCAGACACAAAATCTCCATTATTCAACTCCATTTAAACCAAAAAGAGTTCTGCTTAGGCTGACCTAAATACGCCAAAATTTTTTAGGTTATATCCATGGCAAATATAAAAGCACAGATGCTTCTCTGTAGGATTGAAGTAAAGGTCAGGACAAATACGATTCTTGTTCTAAATGCAGATCCTAATTATTTTCAAATAAAAAAAATTTTTTTCTTCTAGGAAGCAACATGAAAGTAGCAGTTAGACAACTACCACAGTAGTTTTAAAACAGGATAAAGCTAAGTGTAATTTACCTTTTGTACACCAACAAATTAAGAAAAATGTATAAAGTAAATCCTAGTGGTTTCATTACAGGCAAAGAAGACTGTATCTGTCCCACCCACAGTACAAGGCTATATCACTGTATCTTTTGGTTAAGTGCCACGGGTACATATTAGGATGAAAACAAACAAACAAACAAACAAAAACAATGTTTGGTCCAAATGGACACATTTTCTCTCCCAATTTTGGTATCAAGGCTTAATTCTCTTCCGCTTGGGTTCCATTGTTAAGTGCACAGAAATAAACAGCAGCATTTGTACTGAAACCCTCACATACCAAACAGCATATTCTAGGAGGTAAAAACCAAACACTAAATTCTACCCTCAAGATGTCAAGTGTTCAGGATAAGAAGCAGTGTGACCCAGAGGAGGCAGCAGCCAAAGGAAAGACAACATGAGGGAAGTGGGCAACAGAATGACAACAACAACAAAAAAACATGGTTTTATTTTCATGCCAGGAGAGGATCAAGGTGTAGCTCCTGTGTTAGCACCAGGACAACTAGGAAAAGTCAGGCGCAAAGGGTAGGGCACAATCAGCAAATATTTCACAACGATAATTTCTGCTTTTCCCTTCTCATTCTTCACAGTGCATACCTCAAGAACCATCACTGAGTAACACAGATTACTGCCTTCATAGCTCAAAATAACTGATTTTTGCCAGGACTGAATATCAGCAGAGTTTTCCTCTGCTTCCAAAAATGTCTCACTCCCTAGAACTGTCCCCCTAAACGGAATATTCACTAACGCTGGCCGATGAGCCAAGTGAAAAATACAGCAAAACCTCCACTTGCTGAACCAGTCTTTAAACCAAACTCCACAGAAAGACAGAACTAATGCAACTAGAAAAAGTGCCTCTAAAGACTGAGCCTTCATGCACAGACACAGAGCACAGAGGTACAGGGTATAGTTCATTTCAAATATGATAGGAATTCCTATCTTATATACTATAATCTGCTTTTTTCAAGGTGGAGAAGAGATGGATCTGGTTATCACTTGGAGTTTGGTTATACATATGCCTTTCTATTGCTGTTTGGGGCACACATTACCAGGCAGTATCTATGAAATCATTATCTTGTGACACCCCCAGGAGAAAGAAGCTGGAGTCACCAACTCAACATTAAGCTTCCAGACTCTGAGTCTGGATCAGGACCATTATCGCAAGGTGAATGTCTCACCCGTACAGGACCTTCTGTGAAATTGGAATTCCTCTGCTCCAGTCTCATGATACCAAGGATTTCTCAAAATGGTATTTTTGAGCTCTGTGATTTCATGAGCCACACCAAGGAACCTTCAAAACTACACCTGAAGCAGATCCTCCCTTCAAACCTGCTATAATTGGACAGGTCATCTTCTCTGGCATTCAACTGGAAGCTGTAGCAATGGGTTTCTTCAGATGTTGGCTCATAAGTTCCCTGGCACGAGATACTTGGATGTGTTCATAACATGAGTTACAGACGAGAACTGGGTCATAGAGTTGTTGATCAGGAATGGGCAACTTCAGGTGGCAGCAGCCAGCACAAAATACATTCCCACAATTTCTGCCGAAGGACAAAGAGAAGAGTTCATCAGAAATGCCACTATGCTGTGCACCTGAAACTAACACAAAATAATATTGAATGTACACTGTAATTGAAGAAATTTGTTTAATAAAATAAAATAAATTCAAATATACTGAGAATGAATAATACTCTAAAAGGCCTTACATGAGTCAATAAAAAAAAAAGCTGGGAAAAACAAAAATAGCGCTTGTAAATAAAATGTCTGTCCGGAAAAAGTCCAGCCATTGTTAATATAACAAGATGCTTTGCCCAGCATCAATGTAACCTGGCAGCCAAGGGGAGTGGACTGGGATGTGCTTGCATGAACAATGATGACTTCACTGTACTAGTCAGTGCAGGAGGTAGATGCCATTGAGTGAGCATACGTACTATGTGGCTGTTGCATTCAAAATGACTGAGCAAGTAGAGCAACAAATCTGCATCAAGTTTTGCGTTAAGCTTGAACAAATTTGGATGATTCAAAAGGTCACACCTATGGGCAACTGGTGACTGGCAGCTACATCAAGACAATGCACCTGTTCATGGATCATGTCTTGTGTAGTTTTTTGGTGAAACATCAAATCACCCAGGTGACTCAGCCCCGCAACAGCCCAGATTTGGCGCCCTGCGACTTCTGGTTTTTCCCAAAACTAAAATCACCTTTGAAAGGGAAGAGCTTTCATACCTTTGATGAGATTCAGCAAAATGCAACAGGGCAGTTGATGGTAATAATAGGGAGAATGGTGTGAGGTCCCAAGGTGCCTACTTTGAAGGGGACTGAGGCATAATTGTCCTATGTAGAATGTTTCTTGTATCTTCTTCAAGAAATGTCTCTTCTTTTCCTATTACATGGCTGGATACCTTCTGTCTCAGAGACAGACCTCACATGTCTCCATTTTCAGCTTAGTTCAATTTCATTTATATAAATGCAACTCACTGTTTTCTCAGCCATACCAAATTATATAAAACATATTACCTGCAATGATGTCTTCGTTTAGCCAACCAGAATTCACAGTCACAGTTATAGCAATGGGATGCCATATGATCTGGAACCCAGCGAGTTACCTAACAGAAGGCATAAGGAAAAAAAAATTCCAGGTTCTTGTCAACAAAGCAGAAGAGCAACACTGCAACAAGGAGAGTGTCCCAGGAGAAAAAAGATAAAGCCTGTCTTTATAGTTGGGTACTATTTGCCCAAAAAGCAAACACTCTGGCCGATGCCAGGTAGCTCAGTTGGTTACAGTGTTGTCCCATTCCCCAATGATGTAGGTTTAATCCCTAGTCAGAGCACATATAAAAATCAACCAATGAATGTATAAACAACCTATCGATGTTTCTCTCTCTCTCCTCTCCGCCCCTACTTCCTCTCTCGAAATCAATAAATTAAAAACTTTTTTAAAAAGGCACTGTCCACTCAGTAACTTACTTAAGTACCCATGTTTGCCTGGACATACCTCAGTCTCTTTCTTATCAACAGGTTCC